ATTGAAGACAGACCAACTGTGAGCTACAAGGCTGTTAAAGGGACAGTTCACCCAAAAATGAAACTTTTGTTGTTCCAAACAACAAAGTTGTTCCAAACCTGTATGTTAAACACCAAAGAAGATATTTTGAAGAATGTTAATATAATGTCATACTTCCTTCTGGAAAAACTACATTACCCATGATTCTGCAAAGAAATCTCCACCAATCTGTGCAAATCACCAAACGGCATAAGCTGTTAAGTATGCAGTTTAGTACTTTTGTCCCATTTTTAAATACTTTTTTGCTTCAAATCAAAGTTTCTAATGCCACGATTCACCATGTAGCTGGTTGGTTTGCTTCATGGCTTATAACTCTTCAACAAAGACTTGTTAAAATCCCCATGGAAAAAATAAATGGGAAAAATCCTTTCAGCCAAGACCATTGAAAAAGTGGGCAAAAACCATAGTTTAAAAAACTACATTTTAAATTTGGCAGTCTGAAATGGCGATCTGTGAACTTCCCTCAGAATTTCGGACAATGTCATAATCGACTACTTAACTTGCCCATAAATACATCACCCTCAGTTTTGAGGCAGTTTTGCACATGATATTTTTAAATGATTCCATTTCAGACTTTTATCAGGAGAAGGGATAATTGAGCAAATTATTTTACATTAGTGATATTTTTTTCTCTACATGGCACATTTCTTCAGCACTACTAAGAGGAACAGATGAAATGAAAACAAAGGTTAATTTTGTTGCAGGGATTGTGCAAGATTGACTAAAAATGGACACTAGCCTTATAAATGGGTGATTAAGGTTACCAATGCCAGCTAACAAAGACTAGCTCATGCTTATATCAAGCTTTGAAAACCAGCAAGTTTACTTTTTTCTCTAAGTTATAAATGTTACAAATGCTGGTAAACGAGAAAATATGGACAAATACCACCAACATATCTCATAAATGAATTGTACAGAACTGCAACTAGTTTACATCACAAACTATTTCATAGAAAGATGCAAATATCTGCAGCTTTTGAGCAGGTTTAAAGCAATAGTTTACCCAAATGAAGTTAAATTACTGATGTTCTTCCAAATCTGACTTTGTACGCTCTTAAGAAGTTTTAATGCCTTTTATGACACTGCTTTGCAGGCCTGCTGATTGACATTTCAAGGAATTGTGCAACTGCTTTGTCACTACCAGCCGAGTCCTGTTGGAAAGAGATGGCTAAGACTGCACTAAAGAATGGGGAGAAGGATACACAAAAGCTAATGGTTTATGGGAGATGGCACTTAAATGAACTTTTTTGTTCATCGTTTCTGATTTGTCATTACATTTTAGCCATTTATCATATGTATTTTTCTATTGTCCTTGTGTATGTATGTGTTTGAGTGTGCGACGGGTTGGTTGAAAGAGCATGTAAGAGAACATTTAGAGGAGATGAATGTGTGAAAACATCTATAAAATTCTGTTTTTTGTTTTGTTTTGTTTTGTTTTTTTTAACCTGAAGAGTTTAGTCATTTTATATTTTCTTGACCCTCTCCACAAAGTCTTTTTTTTTTTCAGAAAGGAAGGGAGGGGAAAAAATTTTTTCAGACGACAATTTGGTTACCAGGTACTATTTAGTAGTGTTTTTTAAAAACCTTTAATACCAGTTATATTAACTTTGTTTTTTATGCAATTATTATTATCATCATCATTATCCATTGGGAGTTAACTCTGTGTGTGTGTGTGTGTATATATATATAGAGATGACATGTTCATTCAAAAAGGGAAGGATTGTCTTTCTGGTCCAGCTGAAATATGATTTTTAAAAAATGTAGTAAAGGCAACATTAGAGATCAGAGTATGGGATGTTAACGTATTGCTAAACCATCCAATCATTGACCTACATGATGCCATCTGTGTCCAGCAAGCAGCCAAGTGATTGGCTGATCCTCTATGTATAATCCTTGTTGTATCCATATATGTCTTTGGAAAATAACACGGTTCTCAATATTATTATTAATGTTACTTCTGTCATACTTATTAACTACTCTTTAAGATGACTTTGCTGTATAGATCAACACTCATTCATCTTGACGTAACTGTTTCTCCTAATATGAACAATAAAAAATGATAAACACATCTGGAATAGTCATTTTATTGTCTAGTGCAATATTGTCCAATCACAATTTGCCGTTTGACTTTTATTTTGGACATTTTAGGAGAATCTCTGAGGTTAAAAATATAAAATTTTGAATGCTTATTTTTTTAATAGTATATTTTTCCTCTAAAAATGTCCTGATGGAAAGGCCCGATTTGATGTAATTGCACATTCTTTGAGATTTTTTTTCTAATTTATTGCAAATTCAGGGATTTAGGCCAAGAAAAATGGTGAAATAATTTTAATAGGAAACAAATTCTCATTGAGTTTTTATTCTTATTTTAAAATGAACGTGGCCAATCAAAATAAGCTTGCGTCACAGTATTCAGCCAATCAGAAGCTAGTTACCTGGCAGATTACACATGAATCGACTTTGAAAATTTCAAACTAACGGTTTTTGGTACGACCATCGTTGTGGGAGAGCGACTACAATTGACAACAAACCAGGTGTAAAAGAGACAAATCACTATCATGAAAATTACCATATATAATTGGATAAATTAGATCTTGAATAGTATGAATTGTAGGAATAAATCTAATCTCTGATTCATCTGAATTAATGGTTAATCTTCTCAGGCCGCTGCTTTCAGAACGTAATTACAGCACTCATTTAAATGGAAAGTGCTTGTCTTTATCAATTCTTACTGGATAACTATTTTTGTACTATATTAATGAAAAAGGTTAAACTGGCATTTAAATTATCGTAAAGTATTTTTTAAAAGTCATTTTATTGTGTCGTCCTGTCTAATTAGGCTAGTTGTGGGGATCTGATTCATTGATTGATTCATTCGTGAATGAAGTAATATGAGTGAGTGATTGAATCATTTACTCAACTGATTCATTCAAAACAATGGTTCATTCAGGAATGAATGAACAATTGTGTGTTGCTCTGGGATGCTGTAAATTTATTGTATTTTGACGTTGGAACTATTTCCGCTGGCGGAGCCAAAAAAACTAAGAAACTGGCAATATTTTTTAATTTTAATATTTTGTACTATGAATCAATATATAATTATAATTTTTTAAAGTTATATAATATATAATTAAAGTTATATAATATCAACTTCATATTTAAATGTTGTCAAAAAGCAATCGTTCTGTTCGTCTGAATGTCAATTACTGTATGTGCGGCATCGTGCCTGCTCTGATATTATGAACAAATGCACGAATATAGGCCTCATATTGCGTAAATAATCCAGTGAAGTCTTGGAAACAGTTATTAAGTTCCCCTTTTACCCATAATATTTTTATTGTAGGAAGTTGGAGTAAAATATAATGTACTCACCCTCACAAAATGACAATGTGAGTCCGTAAATTTGGTGTCTTTGTCCATGTAGTGTCAGGTGGATGGCAGATTGTGAGGCAGCTGGATCGTATGCATTGGTGGAGTTCAAGTTTGTCAAGCAAAGAGGACTTGAGATGAGTCACGATAGTCAAAATAGGTAAGTGAGGGGGTTTAATAGGGTAGGACATCAATAAACCAAATTCAGTGTGGCTGCATAGGTTTCAGTAAACTTAAAGCCCCAAGCTGAGGCTGTCAAAGTACTTTACCATGTTCACATTTCCTAGGGGTTGGCATTCTCCTGCAGGGAACGTGTTGAAATTATGTTCATTAATTTAGACTGAACAAAAAGCAGTTTAGTTAAACGTTTATTTTAGTAGGGAGGTTACTTTAAGGCATCATAAGCACAGATAGACAATACAGTGGTTTGGTTTGTTAGTCTTTGCATGCATGCTGAAACTGATGCAATTGTTGAAACAGTTAAAATAGGTGATTTGTTTACATAATAGTATAGATGCTTTGTATAGAGTAGAAAAATCATCTATTGACAAATACAGTTTTTCTTTCATTACACCAACATAGCAGCCATAGCCTACACAGCATAACAGCAGGTCTACCTAATGCCCTGACATACTATATATAGCCTTCAAGGGATGCATCACACTTCAAAAGTCATAAACCATTAAACATGAAGATTGTAAAAACAAATACAAAAGTGACAAATGTGTGGAAGTTCAGTTTGCATTACGCACAACATCTATAAAGTACCATAACAGTGTTTATACATCATTAATGTCATGTTAGTAACGATTAAATCTAAATAAATCTAAATCGTCATTAGTGCCTATGAATTATACATAATGAAGTCAACATATTGTACTGACAATTAAACATTTGAAAACAGAACATTCATCACAATTTTTATGATGTAATCAAAGAAAAATGTAGTGTGACCAGTATTAAATACTGTATGATTATGAACAAAACATATATTAGAACTCCCTAAAATCCCACTTTTTTTATGGAACACAACTATTTTGACAAGAACTCAGCCTTCAGACATATTTAATGAACAGAACTGTCTAAAAATGTAACAAGTTTCCCTGTTTGTCTAGTCCTAGAGTACACTACATGGTTATGATCATGATCAACATTGTTAAGGACATATGTGTGTATGTATAAAATCGCACCCTTCTGTCATGCATGAAAACACTTTAATCTATACAAAAAAACATTCAAACGATAATTGTGAAATAAATAAGTTACTTTTTAAATAATTACTGATCTGTAATTCTGCATAACACAAAGACACTTGATTGTTCGTTTGAATAAACACATATGAAGATCTGACATTATTGGCAGTATCTTCAGATTTCAGAGTGCGGTACAATTTGAAGCAGATAACTGCTATAACTCCTACACGATTATGTCCAACTAATATAGCTATAATGTACTGTTGAGGTAAAGTGAAAGTATATCCTATTCAACCCACAGAAACAAATGACACAACAGCACCAGTCCTTATAAAATAACAGTGTTTATACATCATTAACGTCATGTTAGTAACGATTAAATCTAAATAAATCTAAATCTAAATTGTCATTAGTGCCTATGAATTATACATAATGAAGTCAACATATTGTACTGACAATTAAACATTTGAAAACAGAACATTCATCACAATTTTTATGATGTAATCAAAGAAAAATGTAGTGTGACCAGTATTAAATACTGTATGATTATGAACAAAACATATATTAGAACTCCCTAAAATCCCACTTTTTTTATGGAACACAACTATTTTGACAAGAACTCAGCCTTCAGACATATTTAATGAACAGAACTGTCTAAAAATGTAACAAGTTTCCCTGTTTGTCTAGTCCTAGAGTACACTACATGGTTATGATCATGATCAACATTGTTAAGGACATATGTGTGTATGTATAAAATCGCACCCTTCTGTCATGCATGAAAACACTTTAATCTATACAAAAAAACATTCAAACGATAATTGTGAAATAAATAAGTTACTTTTTAAATAATTACTGATCTGTAATTCTGCATAACACAAAGACACTTGATTGTTCGTTTGAATAAACACATATGAAGATCTGACATTATTGGCAGTATCTTCAGATTTCAGAGTGCGGTACAATTTGAAGCAGATAACTGCTATAACTCCTACACGATTATGTCCAACTAATATAGCTATAATGTACTGTTGAGGTAAAGTGAAAGTATATCCTATTCAACCCACAGAAACAAATGACACAACAGCACCAGTCCTTATAAATGTGTTTCCCTTCATGTTACTTTGGCTTCCAAAAGCTTACCTAATGGAAAGCTCAAATATAACGAAATGCTCTTAGTGCTCTACCAGCATTAAAAAGTGCTCTATAAGAAAACCTACAGGTGAAAGTAACATTTCAAAATGTCAGACGTTGCAGTGTCTAATGGCATTCAACAGATCCTTGGACTTCACTGTCTTCTTATGCTTGCATTAAAAATATAAAGAACAGCATTCTTCCCTGGAGTTTTAGATTAAAATGCACTCTGGGTTTTGGCAGCATTGCAAGACAGACAGGAAGTGTAGGTCGAGAGAAACATGGGAAAGGGAAAAACAAAGAGATACAGTGTGGAAGGTAAGAAAGATAAAAGGAGAAGAAATACATTTTCAAAGATAGAGAAGAGAGTCATTTAAATGATAAAGAACCTGAGGAAAAAGTGAGAGTAAGAGAAAAATATACAAGATTAATGAAGCATGCATACAGAAATGTCATGTTGGAGAATTTCTTCAACCAGTCTGGGCCACCTAAAGAGAGAGAGAAATTCTACGTTAATTGTACATGTGAGAATATGCACACACTACATGATGAACAAAATAAATTCATGATCAAAACATTTTCTGTATTTACTTAAAATACAAAAACAATACTGTTTGAAATACTGTTTTTACCTGGGAAATGTTGACCCCAGTTAGTTTCTCAATGGTTTCAGGCAGTCTGGTCATGATGTCAAGCACTTCACCTGTCAGCTTGGCTGCGCCAATCTCTGAACCTCCACTGGAAACCATGGTGACCTTATTGGTAGCTGACAGGGGCTTACTTATCTCCTCTGCCATCTAATGGACAGAAAGAACACAATTTACCATCAATGTTAAGACATCAACTCAAACTGCATTGAACTGCTTTTTGCTCTCAGCAGGATTATCTCTTGCAAGAATTTTGCAGTGCAATGCAATATTTTTCTGTATTGCCAACACAACAACATTACAAATACATCTCACCAGTGGCAGTTTCTCCAGCAACATGTCCACCATAGCTCCTTCCTTGTAGTTCTGGAAGGCCTCAGCCTTCTTAGCCATCTGCTCAGCCTCGGCACGACCTTTAGCCTCCACAGCGTATGCTTTGGCCTCTCCTCTCATCTGCAGAGACACAGTTCATGTGTAACACAAACGGTTTTGTTTTGAATATAGCCAAGATGATGGCTGATCACTTACTTTGATAGATTCGGCCTCAGCTTCTGCCTCCATGATTAGCTGAAGACTGTTGGAGAGCACAAAATGGCCAGATGCATATGTTTTTAAAGGTGAGTGGTTCAAATTTTTCCATTTTAAAATACTTTCTCCTATCCAAAGCTGTTTTTTGCAATTCCGTATGATTTCATTACACACTTTTAAGACAAAAACAATTGGTGAATGTTTGTGGGAAAACAACCTCCGTGTTATATGGCGTTTTAAAACAAACAGGAAGCTGAGAGCATTGACGAAGCATCCATCTCACCGTTCTGCTTCCGCCAGTTTCTCCAGCCGGTATCGTTCGGCCTCGGCTGGTTTCTTGACTTTGGCCTCCAGCTCTTTCTCCTTGCGTGTGATCTCCTGTTGCTGAAGCGTGATTTGCTGCGAGCGCTCCACCACCAACACCTGCATCTTCTCCTCCTCGATCCGCTGCTTTGTCTTTGCCACCTAATGCAACAGTTACACAGATTTACGGAATAAACGTAAGTAAATTAAAAACATTTTTACCCACAAAATCATGTCACACAGTTATGTTTCTTAAATCGGTATAACTATTAAAGGAATAGTAGAACACAACAAAGATATTTTACTTCGTTGATGACCAGTTTTGGTTTCCGTTGACTTCCATAGTATTTTTTTTCCATACGATGGTGGTCAATGGGAACCGAAATGACTTTTTGTGTTCCACAGAATAAAGAAAGGCATACCGGTTTGGAACGACGTAGGAGGGGAGTAAATTATGACAGAATTATATTATATACAAGAACCCAAAGGATTCATTTTAGAAAGTCAAGAAATTATTTCACAATGTTGAAGGTCCCCAATAGGGTTTGGTTGTCGTTTTACCTGGAGCTGATAGGCCATTTCAGACTCAGCTTTTTTGGTGAAGACCTCAATGTCATAGACAGCCTTCTTCAGCTCGTAGTCTCTCTGAGCCTTAGCCATCTCGATCTCATTCATGTACTGAGCAGATACCTTCTCCTGTATAGCATTGGCCTCCTACAGAGAGAAGAAAGAAAGAAATGAGAGAGACATTAGCAAAAACACTCAGTGATATTTAGAAAAAAGGCTGTATTTGGAACAGAGTTCAGGAATGGCTCACCCTGATCACTGCATCTCTTTTGTTCATGGCTTCCCCAATACGAGCATCCTTCTGCACTTGTGCCGTACGGGCCTTCCCCAAAGAGTGCAGGTAATCCTGAAAGAAAAAACCTTGATTCACCACTCACACAGATCCATTTTTGTAGACATTTAAAGCATTTTAAATATTCAGGGGCAGATTTATTAACAGCTTGAGCCAACACAAACCCTCCTATTGTCAGGATCTACTCAAGAAATGCAGTGAAACATTAGCAATGAAAAAGACACTTATTTGTGCAGCTAACCTTGCTTAAAAAAAAAAAAGGATTTTCCTTTTCAAAATTTATAAGAGGACAGTATTTAAATGAAGCATGCAATGGGACTTACTAAGGTTTGCGGTAGTCATTTTTAGTGGTCGACCGATATATCGCCATGGCCGATATTTGGCATTTTTTAAATATCGGCCGATAAATTTTCCTGTTTGGCCGATGCGTTCGAGGCGGGACTTTTATTTTGACGGCGCTGACAGGAGGAGAGTTCAGCTTCACTGGAGACGCGCAATCGATAAACTTTAAACTCGTGATTTCAAATTATGCTGCGCTTTATGCATTTGCCCACTGCCATATTCATGTCATTTCCACTGTGTGCTGTATGTAAAATGAGTGTTACCTTGGTTTTATTTGAAAAAATATGATTCCCAAATCCCAATGCACACAAACTTCCCAGAATACTGAGTGCCCTGTTGGTTACAGTGTTTACTTCCTTTTTTATTATATTTTTTATTAAATATTTATTTATTTATTTGTGAAAAATACTTTGTCATCTAAAGTATAAGAATGTTTATTTAACACATTTATTTTTTAATCCATTTTCAAATGATTTCAAATTTCTTAAATAAATTATATCGGCTTTATATCGGCCATCCTGCTTTTCGAGATATCAGCATCGGCTGTCAAAAAACCAATATCGGTTGACCACTAGTCATTTTACTGGTATTTGTGCCATTATTTAACGCCCAGAAAAAAGCATGTCTTAATCCACGATTATCATCTGCTCTGCTTGTTTGCATCTATGTTCTTTAATTCACACATTGTGAGTAAATCATCTGCAGAACTTTCCTTTCCCATCGACACTTTTTATGGGATTGCACTCTCACGCTAATTTGCCTTGTTTAGTAAATTTGGCCCCAAGTTCGATAAACACAACAACACAAATGGGGCTAACAGACCTGGTCATCGTGAACGTCTTTGAGTGTGTAGCTGACCACGCTGATGCCCATGTTGACAAGGTCGGATGAAGCCACCTTAAACACCTGCTCGGAAAACTTCTTCCTGTCTTTGTAGATCTCCTAAAGATTAAACACAAAACACAGCATGCTCAATGAAGTCAATATACTATGCCGAGGACTGAAAGTGCAGATTTTGAACACTATATCCAGTTTTACTGCTGTTTGTGATGTTGCAGAGTGCAGTACGTTTGCAAGGTGGGCCTTTTCTCTGTGCACATGTCTATTTACCTCCACAGTCAGGTGGGCAATGATTGCTCTCTGGTGACCCTCCAGTGTTTCCAAGGCAATGTGGGCAATCTCACCCTCTGACTTTCCCAGAAACATCTGACATGCTGCAGCCAACATCTGTTTATTTTGTCCTTGAATCTTCATCTGTCAGAGAGAGAAGGTTCAGTTTAGCCACATAACGATTTTTTTTACAGAAAAGTTATTAAAGGCAGAAAAAGTATTTCATAAAAGACAGAATAGCACAGTAATCTGGGAAAACATTTTTTTATTAAATGACAAAAACCGCTTTCTTAAACCCTATGAAATGTTGTTTACTGCATATTAGAGAGTGTGTGAGTTAGTTAACCTGTGCAATTCCAGTGACAGAGATGGGCACTCCATGACATGTGTAGACTTTATCACTCTTTACATTCAGCGTCAGTGTGTTCAAAGAGATCCTGTGATGGAAGAAAGAGAAAAAGCTGAGATTTGTTTATGCAAACCATGCATACATATATACACAACACACAGAGTGAATAATACCTTTGTATCTGTTGAATGCATGGGAAAACAAACACTCTCCCACCAGAGATCATGACTGGTGGTGAGCGGCAGAAACCTGAGGCAGGAGTCAGACCACATATGTGAATGTGTTTTCATGATTTCTACTGAAAATATCTCTCTATAAACATATTTCTGTTATGTTTAGTCTTACCCGACACCACCATTGCTTCATTTGGACCGCAAGTGTAAAACATTTTCATACTATAGAGAAACCAGAGAAATGAAAGTAGTTCATTGTTAAAATCATGTTAAAATCATTTTAGAATTATATCCGGAGGAAAAAGCAATCACTGTGGATTAATTTTTTTATATCTCACATAACAACTATTCTGTTTTTAGTCATTTTAAAATAAATCTCCATTCTCATTGCAACATTCAGTATGGCACACTTTGCATAACTTTAACAACCAATTAATCCCAAGAGGCTGTAGGCCACAAAGACATATATAATATATGTATATAATATATTTCAAATATGTAAGTACATAACATGCTGAAACGTCAAAGGTGAAAATATCCTTACATATGGGTCAAAAATACTCAAATAATTATAAAGTAAAATTAAATCTATCCAAAATAAAATATATGAAAAACTAATTGAAATCGAATTCTATATTCTACATAAAATATGTATTTATAGTGTGTACAAATAATGCGCGTTATCTTACAATCTGCATTATAAACCCACTAATGCCTTCAAGTAGTAGTATCGATTGATTGATGCGTTTTCGCTTCTCTGAAATGGTGGACTTGTGGTTGCTTATTAAATACAGGTTTACCAAAGAATCCCCGGTGAAAAAGCATCCAAGCCCATTAACTTATTAAAGGGTCCTAAGCGTGGCAGATGGTAAAACACGAGCATCTCTCTCGTTGTTTTTCACAATTAGATTTAATATAAATACATATTTGCTAATTTTTTGTTTTATATTGTATTATTATTGAATTATATATATATATATATATTTTTTTTTATTTTTTATTTATTTATTTATTTTTTGTTTGTTTTTTGTACGTTGGATTTGAATATAGTGCGCAGCGCGCACTAGGAGGTGCCCTATAATGACATTAGTAGCCTATAATAATATTAAATCAAGCGAATTTTGCCTGTTATCTTAGCCTACTGATGCAACTTCATCAGACTGTATTTTCCTGGTAGACTTGAAGTCAAAACTTGCGAAATAACTGATAAACACAACAACGGCGCCTACAAATTCGCAATATTGTATCGGCCAGTAAAAGAAATTAATCCAGTGTTTACATCCAGCACGTCACGACAACGTCAAAGCCATCGGCACAGACTGCAAAGAAAATAATTGTCAGAAAAACTCTTACCGTTAGGTGAATGGATAGAAAATATTAATCGACTTGATAATAGCACGATATCTGGGCTCTTTTCAAAACGGTGTAAGATAAAGACGCAGCAGTCCAGCAGGCTGTAACTAGTAGCAGCGTGTGATAGTGATGGCGCCCCGTCCGGATCACACAGGCATACTGGCGCCATCCCATGGAGCAGTTCTTCCCAAAGTGTGGACCTCCAAGCTATCGCAAGAGCTCCGTGGCCTAGGCTAAATAAATTGAAATCAGTTTCAGATGTCGTTTGCGGTATTGGGAGTACAGGAACGCGATATTTGCTGAATCCCATGCATTAAGTTACTATAAAACATTTACAGTATTTCATCCTCAATTTAAATGCTGCTGTCATAATGACATTTGAAGGGTTAGTTCACCCAAAAATGAAAATTCTGCCATTAATTACTCACCCTCATGTCATTCTAAACCCGTAAGACCTCCGTTCATCTTCGGAACACAAATTAAGATATTTTTTATTAATCTTGAGAGCTCTCTGACCCTCCCATAGACAGCAAGGTAACTACCACATTCAAGGTCCAGACACGTAGCAAGGAGATCGGTAAAATAATCCGTGTGACATCAGGGGTTCAACCGTAAATTTACGAAGCTGCGAGAATACTTTTTGTACGCAAAGAAAACAAAAATTGTATTCATCAATTCAACTTCTCCGCGTCACCCTGGTGCCATTTTGGAGAATATCCACTAAACGTAAACAGCAAATGCTGTTGTTTTCGTTCAAATCAAAGCGTAAACAACGTAGAAAACGTATCCGCGTGAGGCAGCTGACACAGAATAGCATACGCTGTTTACGTTCAGTGGATATTATCCAAAATGGCACCAGGGTGACGAATAAAATCATTATTTTTGTTTTCTTTGCGTACAAAAAGTATTCTCGTAACTTCTTGAACCCCTGATGTCACACGGATTATTTTACCGATCTCCTTGCTACGTTTCTGGACCTTGATCATGGTAGTTACCTTGCTGTCTATGGGAGGGTCAGAGAGCTCTCAGAATTCATCAAAAATATCTTAATCTGTGTTCCGAAGATGAACGGAAGTCTTACGGGTTTAGAACGAAACGAGGGTGAGTAATTAATGACAGAATTTTCATTTTTGGGTGAACTATCCCTTTAAACATTGCGGAATACAAGCATGGATTTGAATACATTTGTGAATTGTATATCTGTGTGGCTTTTGCTACATTTTTTAATGTCATATAATTGTAAATAGTATGCACTGGATTTAGATGCAATTTATTTGTAAAAAGAATACAGCTAATGTTCTAACTTGACAGGGATATGATTTGCTATGCAATGCCTCTGGAATTTTGGAAGCTATCCCATTAGCTGTATTCTTTTTACAAATAAATTGCATCTAAATCCACCTGTATCTTGGGGAATCTGATAAATGTGTGTATCCAACTGAAAATACTGTGTAAACGGCAAGGTACAGTTTAACTTATTTTATTCTTTGAATGAAATTGATAAACAATTGACACTGCCTTTCTGTTTTGCAGCTGCTCAGTGAGAAGATATGCATAATTTTCTCCTCATGTTTGGTGCCAGAGTCTGGATATTAATGTTGCCATTGCCTCCTGCCAGCTTCATGCAGGAAATATCAGATTTTTATCCGATATATCCAAAGTTATTCCAACTCATTATCAAGTTAACATTTCTGTAGCCAAGAGGCAGATGGTAAGGAAAAGCAAGAGGCAGAAAATTAAGAAATGAGCAGTTTATTCCATAACCCTATTTGTGTAAACTGAAACATACTTGTTTTTTTAACAAGCCAGAAGCAATGGGAACATTCTGCTTCTTAACAATATCTATGGCATTGAACACCTTGAAGCTTGTAGAGGCAATACAGTTATTGTTTTCATCAGTTCACAGATCAATTAAACTTAAATATCATTCTATGTACAACAAGGTTATACAACATTAGAAAAACATGACAGTGAACATGAATCAGATGAGGGGAAAATGATGTATCACAGTTGTTTAAACGTTTGTGAGGTTGCAGAATCTCATTAATGAACCCTTAATTGTTAACAGTAGTGGTGTAAACTGACCAAATTTTCCTATTGGCCTCTTATCAGTAATGACTTCCTAATCATATGAACAGGTTGACTATATCGCTGTGATCTGGGACACTTTTTGGATGCTACAGACAGGTGACTGAAGAAGACTAAAATTTCATTTTTTATTTAATTTGATGAATTTTAGCTTACAATAATAAGAACTCTGTCTTGTTTTCTGGTGCCTTTTTAAACAGCATGGCTATGAAAAATTCATCACACACTGAGGACAGGCTTCGCTCCAGTGTGAACTCTCATGTGCCTCACAAGGCTTTGTTTATTTGTGAACGTCTTTATACAATGAAGGCAGCAGAAAGGCTTCTCTCCAGTGTGCATTCTCATATGACTTTTAAGGTGTTGTCTCAGTGTAAAAGTCCTTCCACACTGTTGGAACGGTTGGAACGGTTTCTCTCCAGTGTGAGTTCTCATGTGATTTTCGAGGCTTTGTTTCACTGTGAAACTCTTTCCACACTGTTTGCAGGTGAACGGTTTCTCTCCCGTGTGAATTCTCATGTGAACCTCAAGGGAGTGTTTCATTGTGAAACTACTTCCACACTGTTTGCAGGTGAACGGTTTCTCTCCAGTGTGAATTTTCTTGTGCCTCTCAAGAGTTTGTTTAATTGTGAAAGTCTTTCCACACTGTTGGCAGATGAATGGTCTCTCTCTATTGTGTGTTCTCATGTGCCTCTCAGTAGAAAGGCTTCTTTCCAGTGTGAATTCTCATTCTCATTGTGACTCTGAAAGCTTGGTCGTTGAATGAGATATATCCCACACTGATGGCAATCGTCTTTCAGTTCCTTCCGATCTAAAATCAACTTTAAAAGATCAATATAAATAAATCTGTACAAGGACAATAAAGGTAAGATAGCCAAAGTAATAGATTTGCACCACAATGTAATGGCAGATGTTTTTTTTTTTTAAATCTTTGATATAATAAAGTTTAAATCTTTCATGATTATTAATTCATATTTATCTGTCACGATGCCATTAAATCTGGTAAGAGTTTAGATGTACTTTGCTAGAACATGTTAGGTGCAATTGTTGGCAAAACATTTTTGTTTAGTGAGAATACATGGTTACTTTTGAATGGCAAGTATGTTTTTTTTTTTTTTTTTGCTTGAAGAATGTTGTAGTTATGTCATCAACCAGCAGGAGATAATCAGCCTAAATAATAACTCTTCATTTAGTGGCTGAAACCAATGAGTCATTTGCATCCCTGATTATTAAAACATAGGTAGCTACGGGCTCATTTTATGTAATGAATTATACAAAACGCGCCACTTTTATAAATGTTGCTATTCAAATGCGGTCAGCATAACCAGTGGCCAGTGTTGGGGAAAGTTACTTTTAAAAGTAATGCATTACAATATTGCGTTACTCCATAAAAAAGTAACTAATTACGTTACTTAGCTACTTTTTATGGAAAGTAATCAATTACGTTACTTTTGCGTTACTTTTTAAATCTGGACAGGGCTTGCTTGTTTGTTTTTAAAATAAAAAAGTTATATTTTATATTTTTGGCAAACATAAAAGCCTTTTCACACCATAAGTGAAATGAATAAGCCTCAGGCTGAAGGAAATGTAAATTTACGTCCATACAGTAGAATGCAGAAGAAGAAATTTCAACACACTTCAGCAATAAAAAAAACA